CGGCTCCGTGACGCTGCCTCCGCCCCGGGCGCGCAGCCCCGCTGCTTTAGGAACACGTTATAATGAGCATTGCCCTGCAGAGCTCTAGTGCTAATGACAAGTGTCTGAAACAGCCTCGTGGTTCGTGCCTAAGAATGAACCCGGGAGACAGGAATACCTGGGTAGGTTTATGATGATTTTTTATTATTGTTCCTCTGACTAAGAGGTTTCTGTATGACATTTACAGACACAGCCACCTCCAGCTCAGACATTGCAGCTGCTTCAGAGACAGCGAAAGCTGAATCTTGGTTACTCATATTGCAAATATGAGGAGAAGCAGATATTTTATTAGAGCTGTCACTGTATCTGACAGCCAGAGTTGGAGATCTCTGCTGAGATGAGACCTACAATACAGCAAATTTTGGAAGACTAGTGGGCAGGATGGAAAAGATTGGTCCCTGTGCCAGCGGCGGATCCGAGTCCTTTCGGAACGCGTTTTGACTTGCTACCAAATATGGGAAGACATCCCGGCGAGGCTGCTGGTCCCGAGGGCAGGGGAGCAGCCGCAGGCAGCGCCGCAGGGCGGCCCCTTCCCCGCGAGGGTGAATCGGGGCAGGATGCGGAGGGGAGCCGGACGGGCAAACTCGGTCCCTGTCCCTTGTCAAACCCCCCCCCCGCCGTGCTCCGATCTCACTGTTCCCTGCCCCGGTCCCCCGTTGGTGGTGTTGGTGCAGGGCGCTGCTGCAGCACGTGCAGAGGAAGACGGGGACGTGGCAGCGGGTGCCGAGGGAGGCCGGGGCGGCGCGGGAGGGCTCACGGCCCCTTCCCCGCTCTCTCTCGCAGCTACATCTGGCAGCACATTGAGATCGGCTACGTGCAGGGCATGTGTGACCTGCTCGCCCCTCTCCTGGTCATCCTGGATGACGGTGAGTGGGCGGCTCTGCCCGTTCCCTCGTGCCCGGCTGGGTCTGCGTGGGGACGGTTTGCTGGGTCCGTTCGTCCTGCAGCCAGTGGGTTCAGAGGTGGGACCAGCCCGGGATCCTGCTTGTCCTTCCAGCTGGCAGTGCCCAGGCAGGGCAGGGGGTGTCCTGCCGTGGTGGCACTGCCACCCCCGCTCCGCAGGTCCCCTTGGGCTGTGTGCCAGGGCCAGGCCCCGCTGTGTGACAGCAGAGGCGCCTTCCTCCCTGCGTGCGCAACGTGGAGGGGAATTCCTGGTGCTCCTGGATGGCCAGGTGCAGTGATGCTGGAATATAGACCCAGCAGTGGCTGTCCCAGCACAGCAGTGACTCTCTTTTTCCATCTCCAGAGGCTCTGGCTTTCAGCTGTTTCACTGAACTTATGAAAAGGATGAACCAGAATTTCCCCCATGGGGGAGCCATGGACACCCACTTTGCTAACATGAGATCTCTGATCCAGGTAGGTGGGTCCTGGCACGGGGGCAGCCTCTGGGGCCAGCAAGAGAAACCTGTTCTTGGGCAAGGAAACCTCCAGGGGAGACCGAGAGGGGGGTTTTCTGTGGTGGGAAGCAGGAGGAGAGCAGGGGGGCCGGGAGTGACGTGGACAGGGTTGCAAAGCAGGGAGACGCTGGATGGGAGGTGGAAGGCATGGAAGGAGAGCAGTGGAACGAAGGGAAGGAGGTAGCAGAATGGCTGGTGCATCTGATGGGAACTGATTTTCCTTTTCTTTTCTTGGTAGATTCTAGACTCTGAGCTCTTTGAGCTGATGCACCAGAATGGTGATTACACTCATTTCTACTTCTGCTACCGATGGTTTCTCCTGGACTTCAAGAGAGGTGTGTGCGAGGAGGGGGACAGTTGAAACCAGCAAATGGGAAGGGAAGGCTAGGTCTGGTGTGCTTCCCTCTTTCTAAATGCATTTTGACTCTGCAATTTCAGCTGTTTGGTCGTCTTTTGCTGTGTGATCCTGTTCTGCTTTGCTCTGGTAGATTTGAGCCTGTTTCCCCGGAGTGGGTGCTCAGCCTCTGCTACGTTTGTGCCCTGCAGCCTGTCACCTGCTGCAGGCCAGAATATTTGTCTCTACAGATGTCTCTGCTTGCTCTTTCCAATGGAACTGGCTCTTGGGGAAGAAACTGCCTCGCTTGTCATCCCAGGGTTGCTGTGGCCTCTGGGAATGGGGATGATTGCAAACGTTGCCTGGCTTAGTAACTTTTGGGGCTTTTTCCTTTGTTCACAGAACTGGTGTATGATGATGTGTTTGCTGTCTGGGAGACCATTTGGGCAGCTGCACACGTTTCCTCTGCACACTATGTGCTCTTCATAGCCCTGGCTCTGGTGGAAATGTACCGCGACATCATCTTGGAGAACAACATGGATTTTACAGACATCATCAAGTTTTTCAATGGTACAGCTTGTGTTCTGTTGGCCTGACTTTGTGGCAGCTCCTCAGATGTAACCAGCAAATGTCTGTGATGAGGCTACCTGTCTGACTATGCTGATAAATGTTTAAAATTAGCAGAGCAGCGTGTGGTTGTGAGGCGCTGGCGTTCGGAACACGCTGCGAAGGGCAGGGCTCTGAGGGGTCCTGTGCTGCTTGGGGAAGGAGTCTGCTGCTGAGTCGCTTAAACATCCCCTGTGCTTAACGTGAGCACTGGGCACAGGTCTCGATTCCCGCTGGCAGGGATCGTTCAGCGATGAGTTGGTTAAGAAGGGCCGTCCGAGTCAGATGTCTCCGCATGGTGCCCGGGGACTCAGACACAACTTGGCAGCTGTAGCTGCTGTCTGGAAGTCCTCGGTGCAGCAGACAGGCGCGGGGTCCTCCCCGGCGGCGCCGGGGCTCTGGCTCGAGGCGGCTCACGGCTCCGTGTGTCTCTCTTGCAGAGATGGCGGAGCGGCACAACACCAAGCAGATCCTGAAGCTGGCTCGGGATCTCGTGTACAAAGTCCAGACTCTGATTGAGAACAAATGAAGGACCTGGGCAAGACGAGGCATCCAGACGAAGAGCCGGGACTCCCCTCCGATGCTTCCTGCCCCTCTTGTGCTTCTTGAAGTGCCACCCCTGTGGAAAGGAGGTAGCTGGACACTTGCTGCTCTCTGAAGTGGAAGTACCCTTAGCTCTCACAGTGCTGTGTTCAGTGTTAGGTCAGGGGCCCTGGCCCCATTCTCAGCACTCTGCAGTGACTTAACCAAAGATCTGTACAATTGCATTTTCTTGTTAAAGACTTGCTTTGGAAGCAGAACCCAGGCAGCCACTTCCTTGCCTTGCTGCAATAGAAGTGCAGCCTGTTTGGTTACCACTACAACAGCATCCCGGGTGGGAGCCTGGGCCCTGGCAGAGCGGGGCTGCCAGCCCTCCCTGGGCCCGCTTGGGCTCCACAGCCTTTGCTGCAAGGAAATAAAGCTGCTTCTTGGGCAGCAGGAGCCCAGCCAGCCCTGCAAGCCCAGGCAAGACAGGGATGCTCTCAATACTCTCTTTCTTACAAGCAGCATGAGATTCTGCCAGTAACAGACTTTGAACACAGAAGTTTCTCCTCCTCTTTGATCTTGCCCCTTGGTGCATAGCATCACCCTGGGGTTTTTACGTTTTTTGTTACTGTAGTATTTGAGCACACAGAGTTTCCGCTCTGGATGGATTTTCAAAAGAGCTCCGAGTTCCTCATTGGATTTCTCTTTCAAAATCCACTCTGTAGTGGACTCCAGGCGCTAACCTCACGTGGGAGCTCCGGCCCCGAGGTTTCCATACCTGCCTTATCTCGCTGCCTGCGGCAGGACCCTGCTGTCCCGCCGCTCCCGCAGCCGTGCGGGACGGGCTCCTCGGCCGGCCGCTCTCAGCTCCTGCCTGCGGGGCTCCTGTGGCCTTCCCTGGGAAGGTGCCGTCCCTTCCTCGCTGGAAGCCCCGCAGCCCCGGGGCCACCACAGAGCCCTCCGGGCGGGCCCGGCCGGTCGCTCTCCCCTCGGAGCGAGTCCCCGGCGGGAAGGGCCCCTCCGGCGCCGCCGGAGCGGAGCCTTGCGGCACTCGGGAGCGGAGGCTGTGGATCCGCTTTCAACTCAGGTACAAACACTAAAGGAAAAGCAGAGCTGGGGGTTGTTCCAGGTCCGCATCGGGCAGGGAGGGCTCCTCGTGGCCCGGGAGCTGCCGTGGCCGCGTGCCGCGTGCGGCGGGCAGGCGCTTTGTGGGAGCGCTCCCTAAGGGAACTCGCTCTGGAATTTTGCTGCAAAAACCTGTGTTCCCTGGCCTCGAAGCGCGTGTGCTGCCCTCCTCCTCTGCAAGGCAAAGCCCTGCTGCTCTCGTGCTGGCCGAGTGCCGCTTGCCAGAAGGGGAAAGGGCCCTTCCCGCTTCCATGGAACATCCCTCTGTGCCGACTGTATTTTGTACTTGGTTGTTGCACGTGTCAGGTGTTGCTTGTAGCAGAAGATCCAAAGCTCCAGAGGAGAGAGCTGCTGCTTCAGAAGAGCCCTGTGGCGCATGGAGAGGCAGCCTGCAGCAGCCCAGCAGGTCGGTGTGTCTGCAGTGCTGGGATACGGGGGTTTTAGCTACGTGAGAGGACTGCAGCAGGGGGAGAGCGACGGGGAGCCTTTAATTCCTCCAATTCCCAATGAGTGAATGTGTTCCAGCAACGTTAGGAAACTTGGAGGCAGTTTTATGCATTCAGTCTCCAAAAAGTGCTTGGTCTGCAGCGTGCAGTAGCACAGGGGTCAGAGGCACTTGAGCTTCAAATCTGCAGGTTTGCATATACATTTTTCCATCTTTCCATAAAGCAGAGTGAAGCTCGTGCCCTCCCGACCAGGCCGTTCCTGTGCAGAGACCTCTGCAGCTCTCTAGGTCTTAGGACAGGTGACAATTTCACTGCCGGATCTTTTCCAAAGGGAAGGGAAGAAGCTCTTTCCTCCCGTCTGAGGGACAAGAACCAATATGTTGACTTAAATACAGTCTCATCAAGCAACATCTCTGACACTTTATCTTTCAAACATCACTTTTTCTTTTCTTTTTTTTAAACAAAAACAGCCAAGCAATTCTGCACAATATTGCTGTCTGTATTACCTGAGAGTGTCTTTGAGCCGCTCAATAGCAGTGTTTTTTGAATAACTTTTTTTGGGAAAAAAGTATTTATTTATTCATTGTACATTACTGTGTGTCCTTGTATACTGAATTATGTGAGCGTGCATTGTTATGCAAATGGAGATATATCTTTTCAATGTTGCAGACATATCTTGTAAATGTTTACCAAAAATTGTGTCTATATATTATATATATATACATATATATACACAGTATAGAGAGAAAATATGTGAATTAAGTGGGTTATTTTTTGAGGGGGGAAGAAGAAATCTTTTGCTTTGACAAACTGTGGTTTCTATCGCGCCTATTCCATGATGTGCCAATCTGTGTCTCTCCTCGTGCTGTGATAATTCTTCCTCTCTGGCAGCAGGATCCTCGGAGCGGAGGAACCGCTGTGGCCCCGCTTGGCTTGGGTGCAGTTGGGGTTTTAGAACGGTGGAAGGGAAACCCAGCCTTGACGTTCCAGCTGTGGTGCGGAGTCAAACCCGCTCGGGTGCGCGGGGTTTTGTCCGAGGGGATCCAAGGTGGGAGCACCCTGGGCAAGGGCAGTTGCAGAGCTGAGGTCTGATACCGGATAGTCCAAACACTGCACCGCGTCCGGCTGCGTTTCAACGGGGACTCACGGCACTTGGCTTTGCAGCTGACCGGGCTGCTGTGCTCGGAAGGGAGTATTAAGTTTCCTGCACCAAATGCAGAGATGATCTGCTCTCCCGACCGATGTCGATGCAGAGCAGCTCTGCTGCAGTCGTGTGTCCCTCGCACTGCTCCAGTGTCCCTCGGACGATGCTCTGCTCCTGGATGTTCCAGGACAAGCAGAGTGTGGCCGCAGAGGAGCAGCTCTGTGTTCCGTGCTCATGCGGAGCAGAGAGGGCGGGCGGTTTTCATGCCCACGTGGCGTGGATGGGCCGTGCTGTGCGTCCCGGCCGGGCACGGAGCGCCTCGGCCAGAGAGCCCGGCCCCAGCGCCGGCCCCTCGAGCGGCTCCCGGCACCCGCAGGGCGCTGGTTCCGCCGCCCCTCGCGGGGCGGCTCCGCTCCCCGGGGCTCCTGCGCGTTCAGATGCGCGGAGCGTTTCTCACTCCGGCCTGGGTCTCTCCGGAGGGAGCTCTGGATAGATTTTCTTGGCGCGTTTGAGCTTTCTGCTGGTGCAATCTGCCAAATGAGTCTTGGTACCCATCTTTTTTAGTGTTACTAGTGTAAACACTTCAAAAGTTGTCTTTGTTCCTGAATGTGTGATTTTTATAGGAGTTTTTCTGTTGCTGTATGGAGTGTCTGAACTGCTTTGCTTTGCACTTCTCTTGAGGATGGAGAGGGCCTCCTGCAGGGGAGATTCCTGC